ATTTCATTCAAACTAATTCTTCATCGAGCATGAATTATCTTCAAACTAATTCTCGATTATCTTCAAGTAAATTTAAAATTGTCCAGACAAAATTAGGGTATTACAATTATATAAAAATTTGTTTTTGTTCTTAACATATATAATAAGTGACTGTACACGGTTTACAAATAATAACTTTTTAATTAAAAAGGTATTTATATTTCTAAAATAAATATTAAGATTGAAACCTGCACCAAATAAAATAATATTAATATTCTTAATTACCCGATCAATTAATATATTTCTATAAATAATAAATTTAAATACGAAAGCAAATATAATGTTTCTTTATTTACAAACATAAATATTTATAAAAACATCATTTATGGAATTTATACAATTAGTTGTTCGAATATTAAGTAAATAATATTATTTAATTTAAATGTAGATAATAAATATTTGAGTTTAATATAGATAATAAATGGATCACCCTTAACAACGTACTAATATGACTTGCAATATTTAAATAGAGAAAAATAGGTTTATAAATGAGACGAGCCAGATCATGAGCTACTCAAGATCGACTCAGTCAAAGCTCGATAAATATTTGATTTAAATGGACTCGACTCGAAAAAGCTTACAAGCAACTTGAAAAAATAATATGTAAAATTCTATATATTAATAATTATATTATTAATAACATTAACATATATGTGCTGATTTTTTTTATAAAAAAATACAGTATAAATATACTTAAGATTTAGGTTTAAGTTCGTTTTTGAGCTTTAATTAAATTAAGTTTAAGAATATTTTTTATTTCAAGCTTTTTTTAACTTCAATTTATAGTTTCGAATTTGAGTCGAACCTTGAAATCTTAGGCTCATGAGTTTTCGATTCGAGTCGAACTAAACAATATTTGAGCTTAACTCGACTCGTTTACATCCCTAGTGAAAAAGATGTACTGAATTTATTGCATCCGATTCCATCAAATGAATGATATTATCTCCTCTGCTTTAGAATTGGAAGGGGACAGGAAGCATGGGAAAATATTGGACCTTTTCTTCTCATTCTTCATAAAAAGCTCAGATTCCATTAATGCTTTACTGTCTAAAGTCATTTTTTATGCTCATCCCTTAATCTATATCTATCAACGAATCGAGTCAGATTACAATTGTTCTTTTTATATGAAATTTAGATCTTTATTTAATATTAAAAATAAAAATCAAATATATATCTATATCAAACACATTCTTGTATTTAAACGTTAATTTATTGTTCGGGTAAAATAGGAGAGGTCGGGATGGTAGTTAATTTATTGGAAGGAAACATATATGCAGACAAAGGAGCATGGTTTGAAGGCCATGAGACAGTGGTCAGTCTCATGTGTTTGTATGTTAGCTGCCATTACCACTGCCATTTTCGATCGCCATTTGGTAAAGGATGCGGCAGCGGATGATGATAATGATGATTGATAGATAGTTGTCTTACGAATCCTCCTAGACGCAGCAGCAATTGACTAGATAAACTCGATAATTGGCTCTAACTAGTCCTCTTAATCGCAATGAGAAGGCAACCCGGAGTGTGAAGATTTCTCTCACAAAGAACTTGAAAGAAAGTAATGAAAAGAATGCTTCGAAGGCACAAGGCAATCATCACTTGTAAAAACGAACTCTCGTTTCATTATTAATCAAAAAAATATGTATTTTCAAAGTTGAATGAAGCCTCCTTTATATAGGTGAGGAGTCATTCTTGTAACATGACTTATGAATTCAATTCTAACCTAATTCCTAATAAAATAATAATAAACTAATAATAATATTTTAATTCAATCTTAATTCCTAATAAAATAATAAATGTAATCCTAGAAGATAATTCATCATCCTATATTAAATTATATTACAAATAATTAATAAAAATATTGAAAATTCATAATATTAATGAAATCTCGTATTAATCTCATATAAGAATTTCTGCATGCGATGTCTTCAATAAAATGAATGTATCTTGAGTTCTCGATATCAGATTAATGCAATTCAAAAATAGTTGGAAAGCTAAGAGACAGATGGTCATATATATAGAATAAATGTTGACATAATAAGATCAGGATCCCATTCGAAAAGTAGTCACAAGTCTGTTGTTATGTTATTGTTCTTTTCCAAGGCTTGTTCGTGTAGATTAATTGGAAGTGCTAGTCTATCTTCCTTTAATGTGAGTCTTGTGATGCATGTATCATCCTCCCTCTCTTCAAAAGGGTTCGACCTCCAATCCAGTAGATGTGCTTTGAATCTTCAGGACTTTGTTCTTCTAATAGGTTCGAGTAGAATCATTAGTCTAAAGACGAAGGCTTTGTCATTATGGGTTTTGGGGCATGTATCATTCCCCCTCTCCTCAAAAGGATTTGTCCACGAATCTTTGGACTTGTACATCATGACTCTTCACTGATATGGAACCATGATTAGGGCTTTCAAGTGATAATCCGTTATGAGGGTCACGTAACACTTATCGAAAATCCTGTAAACGAGATGAAAACACACTAGGCAAATCTTTGTTAATGTTAGAAATAAAAAGAATTGATTCCCTAAAGTGAACAAGGATGCAAGGTTGTTGAAGAAGGTCCTCATTCAATTCTTTTGTGCTCACATAGATTTTGAGTCACTATTTTCTTCTCACAATTAGGTTCACTCACCACTCATGGGTCATGATTTTTTTTGGCTTATATGACTAGTGGCCTCTTTTGTTTTTGCCTCTTTCTCAGTCTTTTTTTTTGCTTTCTTTTCCTCATAAAAAATTCTCATTCGATCTTTCATCATTTCTTTTGGTGGCATTAGGTTTTGTGGAGCTTTTGTTGGTTGAATGTCGACATTGTTATTTTCTTATTGTCGCCTTTCGAGCAGATCATCAATTTGATTTATTTATGCATTCATTTGTTGGTTAATGGACTTAAGCACATTTGTATCTCGTTTAATAGCAGCTATGAGGTCTTGAAATTCCTTAGAAACGTCGTCATCTGTTATCATCCTAAAAATGATGAATCTTTGCGAACTAGCTCTGTTGGGGCACCTTGGTGGTTTTATGTGCAAGAACAAGCAAGATTGCTTGATTCTTTACAAAAATTGGCCTAAATATGATACCAATTGATAAAAGATGTGACACGAGATGATGATGATGATAATGATTATTGATATATAATTGTCCTATGAACCCTCATAGTCGTAATTGACTAGGCAAACTCAGTAATCAACTCTAACCAGCCTTCCTAGTCATAATGAGAAGGAAAACTGGAGTGTGAAGATCTCTCTCACAAAGAACTTGAACGAACTTAATGAAAAGAATGCTTCGAAGGCACAAGGCAACCAACACTTGTAAAAACGAACTCTCGTTGTATTATTAATCAAAGAAATATGTCTTTTCAACGTTGAATGAAGCCTCCTTTATATAGGTGAGGAGTCCTTGTTGTAACATGACGAATGAATAAAGATAATGTTTCGATTCTATCCCAATTCCTAATAAAATAATAATAAACTAAAAATAATGTTTTAATTTAATTTCTAATAAAATAATAAATATAATCCTAAAATATAATGTATCATCCTATATTAAATTATATTACAAATAATTAATAAAAATAATGAAAATTCGTAATATTTATGAAATCTTGTATTAATCCCGAATAGGAATTTCTGCATGTGATGTCTTCAATAAAATTGACGTATCTATAGTTCCCGATATCGAATTGATGCAATTCAAAAATAGTTGGAAAGCTAATAGACAACCGATCATATCTCTAGAATAAATGTTGACCGAATAAGATCAGGATCCCATTCGAAAAATAGTCGTAGTTTTACTGTTCTGTTATTGTTCTTTTTCAAGGCTTATTTTTGTAGATCGATTGGAAATGCTAGTTTATCTTCTTTAATGTAACCTTGTGATGTATGTATCATTATTTAAGTTCGATTCATGGTCCCCGTTACTAGTCTTAACCCCCCTCCTCATCACTTGAAATATCCAAACAGTAACAATAATAATTGTTTCGGTTTTGTCTTCAAATCTCGTTATGGTAATGGCTTATGCTCAAACCCAAGTACTTATCCCTTTAACTTATGCGGTAATTTGGTTCTTACAGTTTAAAATAAAATTTTGAAAATGGGATGCAATTGCCTAATGTTCATTCAAATCTTGTATTGGGCTTTTCCCTTTTTATACAATTGTTTTGGCCTTTCAAACTGCAATTTAAAAATTAATGATTTGACCATCTCAATTGTTTTTCTTTTAGTTTTTAATTATTTTTCTGTTTTTATGTAATTGTTGTTGAATTTAATTTTTTGTTGGTAGATATATGTGAATTTATTTAAATTTAAAATCAAATATATATACTCTCTTAAAATTATATTAAAATATTAAAAGAATAATATTACTAAATTCAACTATCAATTCGTTGAAATTATATAAATATATTATGTAATGTTAAAGTTTTCATTCTAATGAGAGTAGTTAGAGAAATTTGATTTATTTTCTCTCAAGGGATTGACTATGTCTAACCTCAATCCAAAGTAATTTACAAAATCTTCACAATAATTTAATTAAAAGCTAATGGTATCTGAACACGTGTTAACTAACCACTTAATGGATACTCTTCCACTTGTATGTTTCTTAATTATCTTATTCTTAACATTTGTCAATAGTCCGATCTATTAACCGATTAATTTAAATCGGGTACTGCAGAGACAATACGACTATCTCAACCCAGTTTGTTTCATTCACAAATGGTAAAGTTCGAATCTCTAACATTACTTAAGAAATCTAGTGCCTCATATTACATCCTATGCATATTTTAGTCCGAAAAAAATAATACTCTTTTATGACAAATAAATGAAAAAAATGAAATTCTGAATATGTTTAAATCAAATATATACTTATATTTAATTTCACAAAAAAAAGAATCATTATATATTGATAATAAGATGCTCTCAGCAACAGTCGATAATCGGTATAGTCGACGTATAGTAAATTAACGGCTGGGATGCATTTTAGTTATCTACAGTAACTACAAACAATGAAAAATCCGATACCCAACACTCTTCTAGTATAAAAAACAAAACCATATCTATGAAATAGTCTCATGCATGATAGAGTCGTCGAAGAAGAGTTCAGACCAGTACGGAGAGGCGGCTGCCGCGCCATTGTAGCTCGAGGCGCTGCTCGTATCTCCCGGATTATTGCTCACCGATGCATAGCCGGCGGCTCCCGATGTTACCGGAGGGGTCGTCGGCGATTGAAGAAACCACGACGATGAGTTATCGGTTAGGTTATCTCCGACGACAAAGTTGGAGCACTGACCCATCTCATCACTATTCATTGATGTTCTCTTCTCCATATTATTCAACGATGTTTGGAAACCGAAAGGGACGTGTTGTTGTGGTGGATGGTGGAGCAGTTGAGATTGAAGGGTTTCATTAATAATATTATTTCCAAGTGAAAATTTGGTTGAATTTAATAAGTTGAGAGAAGCTGCTTCCATGTCTGCAATGGCGCCGCCGCCATAGCTGTTGTTGTTGGTCATTGAAGGAGAAGATCGGAGGAGAAATTGGAGGTATTGAAGCTTAGCCAACTGAGCAGCCTCGGCCTGCAATGGATTCTCGAAGAGGTCTTTAAGGCTAGCGAGGGCTATCAGCTGAGGCAAGCTTGCGAAGATATCGGTTCTGGGTTGATGGGTCATCGGATCGATCCCCATTTGAATCAGCTTCTTCTTCAAGTGTGTGTTCCAAAAGTTCTTGATTTCGTTATCTGTGCGCCCCGGCAGATGTGTTGCAATGGCTGACCACCTTTTAACACAAGAATAAGAATAAACAAACACAGAAAAGAAGTGAAATTATAAAAATAAAAACTTTAGCGCTTTAGAAATAATTACTTGTTTCCAAGAATGGAATGCAAATACAGGATGGTTTGTTCTTCGTCTTGAGAAAACTTTCCTCTCTTGATATCAGGCCTCAAGTAATTCGTCCACCTTAGCCTGCAACTCTTCCCACATCGGTTGAGACCTGCAATGGCCGATTCCAAGTCTTGGTCATCGAGGATGAAAGAAGAGAATATTGATAATTAGGGTTTAAAAGTAGAAACCTGCAAGCTTAGGCAAAGCTCTCCAGCTACCATGGCCATGGTTCTTTATGAACTGAACCAGCTTTTGATCTTCTTCGGGAGTCCATGGTCCTTTCTTCAGACCATCTTCATCACAACAAGGAGATCTTCCCATGCTCGTTTTCTATTTCTTCTTCTTCCTCCTCTTTATCTTCTATGTTTGCTTTGCTTAATCACTTCCCTTTGTCATCAACTAAACTTCCCATACATGCTATTTATACACACACTATTTTCCCGGATTCTGTCATCCGCAAAGCGTGTATATTATAAGTAATGAATAAAGATTATGAAAAATATTATTTTCTAGTGGCCATACTTTTATTAGAAAAATAATTTGATCTCTAATTTGCACTAATAAAGTGTTTCCACGATTTTCCTTTGACCATTAACATTGTCTGGCCATATAAGTTATTTATTTTTATTTAATAGTATTTTTTATATAAAGATTTTTGTTAAGGATACAATGATTAACATTTACTGCTAATATATAATAGGGTAAAATTCATAAATAATAACAATTTTTTTAAAATTGATTTTATTTATGGTTGAACTTTTAGACATTAAACTTTAGATTAATTGGACTTTGTATTTTGTTAAAAAAAAGATAATGACTATTAAATGTTATTAAAAGGTGATGTAACATACTAAATTAATGAAAAATATTTTATTTAGCCCCTCAATTATAACTAAAATTTCATTTTAATATTTTTCAACATTTAAGTAATAATTCCTAAAAAAATAAAAATATATGAAAATAAAATATTTTTAAAATTAAAAAAATGTTTTAAAAATTTTAGATATCAAACAATGAAATTAATTTTTTATTAAGTAAAAAATATTTTATAACTAAATATTTATTTAATTGTTGTTTTATTTTTAAAATATGTAATTTTCAAGGTTCGAAAATCTATATTATCAAACAATAAAATTATTTTTTAACGATGTGATTTAAACATTTAACTTTTAGGATGATGCTGCCAGGCTCAACTAGTACAGATGAGCACCGTTAATGATGAGCAACATTAAATTAATTTATAAAACGTTAAATTATGAAGTACTAAACATATAATTATAAATTAGTTAAAAATATAAATGTAATTGAATTAAAATACAATATTTATAAAACATTAGTTTTAGGGTAAATTATACCATTTACCACCTAACCATCGATTTTTTAATTTTATCAATCGGGTCACCTAACTATTTAAATCTTATCAATCAAGCCACCTGCCGTTAAATATTAACGGAGGAGATGATGTGACAGTTAATAAAATTTATATAATTATACATTTAGTCCTCATTGCTTACACATTCTATTAATTTGGTCCTAATTCACTTTTATTTAATTTAATAAATTTAATCATCAATCTGACATGGGTCAGTGTGTAATTGGATTTTTTTATAATATGTTTTATTTAATAAATTTTCCATCCAATCAAATGGTTTCACGTGTCTCCAATTGAATGAATAAAAATAAATTAAATCAATAACCGCTACTAGTGGAGTTTGAACCTGGGACGCAAGCCAATGAATGAGCACCCTAACCACCAAGTTGGACCATTAAATTTGTCTATCATTCAAACATAATCCATATAATTTATAATATAGTTAATGGTAATAAATGAACTTATAAGGGCACAAACATAAAATAATTAAATAGTATGAAAATATAAAATATATATAAACAAATACTATAATTGATCAATAAATGAATATGTTTTATTTATATTTTAAATCACATTTAATGCAAAAATTAAAATAAAAGTGAAATTAATATGTAATAATTGAAATGTATCATTTTACATATTTTAAATTAATAAATTGTCTTCATTATTCTAATTTTATTGAACTTAAATATATCATATCTTATATTTTAAAATATTATAATGTTGATAAGATTCTAATCTTATTTACCAACTCTATATAAAATAGACTAATTCAATAAAATCAAGTTTCCCCTAAAATTTTCTTCAAATACATAATGAATAAATAATAAAATATAAAATTCTTACTCTAATCGGGATATAAACAAGTCAATGCATAAGTTAAAATGCTTACTACGATAAGCCACTCAACTATCAGGAAAATTCTAAGTCAAAGAAGCTCTTCGTTATATTTCAATTATAATATATTACAATTATTTTTATTTTTATTTTTCATTAAAATGATTTAAAATATAAATAAAATACATTCACATATTGATCAGTTATAATATTTGCGTCTGTGTATATATATATATATATATTATCGTATTATTCAATTATTCTATGTTAGAGTTCTTATTAGGTAATTTTCTCTTTTTTTATTGCCATTAACTAAATATATTATGTCATGATAGTTTTGTCATTTGAATGGTGTAGCTCTATGGTTAGGGCATTAACTTCCTCTCCTCATGTTTTGGGTTCAAACCCCACTAGCAACGGTTTTTGGTTCAATTTATTTTCTATTCATTCAATTGGTGACACGTGACACCATTTGATTGGATGAAAATTTATTAAATTAAATAAAAATATTAAGAAAAATCATCCAATCACACAGTGACACATGTCACCATCAGATTGAGGATTAAATTTATTGAATTAATTTAAAGTTAGGATCAAATTAATAGAATGTGTAAGTAATGAAGACTAAATGTGTAAGTAATGAAAATTTTATTAATTGTCACGTCATCTCCTCCATTAATATTTAATAGCATGTGGCTTGATTGACAAGATTTAAATAGTTAGGTGACCCTATTGAGAAAATTGAAAATTCAATGGTTAAAGTAAAAGGGGTAAATAGTTAGGTGGTCAATGGTATAGTTTACCCTAAAAAACTAATGTTTTATTAATATTGTATTTTACTTAAATTACATTTAGATTTTTAACTAATTTATAATTATACATTTAGTACTTTATAATTTAACATTTTATAAATTAATTTAACGGTGCTCATCATTAATGGTGCTCGTCTACGCTCGACGAGAGTTGTAGAAATTTTCTAACTTTTATTTAACAAATTTAAATGTAATTTAAAAATCATACATCATAAAATTATAATATCATATCAAATAATTTTTAATTTATATGGTAAAAGTTTAATATTTATAATATAAAATTTAAAAATAATTATTTATATTTGTTTTATTTTCAATTCAACGAACCTATTCAACCTAATAAAAACCATTTCAATTGAAATTAAGAGTAAAATGGAATTTTAATTATAATTGAAAGTTCAAATAAGATATTTCTTATTAATTTAACATGTCATGTAACCTCTTTAAGAACATTTAATGATGTTATACCCATTTTGTAACAAAATCTAAAGTTAAATATTTATTATGTAAATTTTAAAAATTTAATGTTAAAAAATAATTTTGACATAATTTAATAATCATTTATAAATTTTATCTTATAAAATTAATGGCGAATCACAGTGAATAACATGCATTCTAGAAATTTCTTTATATTAATGTTTGAATAAAAACTACGAAAAAAAGACAAAATAATTTTTATTTTTTCGAGGCCTATTAAACATAATTAAAATATGATTTCTTGAAAACATGGATATGTGAAATTGGTCAAAGAAATTAAAAGGAAAGCATTTCATACACGCAAGGGAACGAAGAAGAATAATCCTTTCGTCATTACGTATTTGTTTGGTTTGCACTTTTTGCATGGCTTCAATAATCTATAACGTCTATTCTTTATTTTATATTTCATGATCTTCTTAATTTAATTAAGAAATCTACGTACCAAAATTAACATATGTAACCATTATTTATTTTATATTTCATGACGAGCCTTAATTTAATTAAGAAATCTACGCAACAAAGTTAACATTATATATCTAACCATAAAACACCTTATTGAATTTAGTGTGATGAGACCTATGACTCTTAATTCAATAAGGAAAAGCATTAACTTTATTGTATTCGGAAAAATCTTATATTAATTTTTCATTTATCCAAATATTCATCATTTATTCAAAATTTACTCTCTTTTTTTTAATGAAAATGAGGCCATGCCCATTACATAAGATTCCCTTTAAACGGGTATAGGGATGACCATTACATTAGATTCCCTTTAATCAAATCGTGCTTTAAACACCGCCAGAGAATCTTACTTTAGTGGCTTTTCTAAACAAATGTCATATGAAAATCTTACTTTAGTGGCGTTTCTAAACAAACGTCGAAATATAATAGTTCTTTAGTGGATTTTTAAACAAACGCCGCAATAGGTACATATATCGTGGCATTTTTAGACAAACGCCGCTAAAACCTAATACTTTAGTGGCGTTTTTTGACAAACGTATAATAAGGTACATATATGTGCATTTTTCGACAAACACCGCCACAAATATGATGTGATGTAGTGGCATTTGTGTAATAAACACCGTAATAATAGCGCACATTAGTGGCTTTTATTCTCACGAACGCCGCAATAGAGTTAACGTTTAGTGTCATTTTTATAAAACGCCGCAATTGGTATCACATTAGTAGCGTTTGATATTGAAAACGCCGCAAAGTTTGAGTTTTTATCTCCTAAAACCCCTACCCCTTTTTCATCTTCTTTTCTTTCTGGTTTCCACCATTTACAATTTATCTACAAAGCTATAGCAGGCTGCCACTGTTCAACGCCGTCATGCCCTACACCATTCGTTCCTTGTTCTCATTTTTAATAAATCATTGTTTATATACCTGCCATCGCCATCGGTTTTTCTCCCATTTCTACTATACTATAATTCAAGAACACTCTTCGTTTGGAATTTGAACCATGGCGGGGATCGAAGGAGGAGGGACATTATTAAAAGTCTATCAGAGGACCAGTTTTACAATCCGACCAAGGCGAGAAGGTCGTTTCAGAACCAGCAAATCGATCAACTACGGAGGGCTCAAAGTGACGTTAGGTCACCCAATCAAATGTGGACCGGGATCTGGAGAAAGGTGTTGCTTCGACTGACCATCGTAAAACGGTTTTGGTTCTCGTTTCAGAGTCGGTCGTCTTTTCTTTGAGTAATTTGGAGAGGTTTTTGGACTCAGTCATGCTTTCCGTCCCTGCACTTCATCTCTCTAAGGTTCATTCAATCTCAAAATGGTAAGATCCTTTAGTTAATTTTTTAATTGTTTTTGTGTTTGTTTGGTTTAAGCTAGTTTCCGTTGTAGATTTAGAGTGTGTTCTATTTTGAAGTAAGA